TCACACAGGCAGGACAAGACAGGCAATACCCAACGACGAACCGACAATGACAGAACTGACAGACAGACTTTAAATACACACAACCAGGACATGACACAGGTGACGATAATCAGACAATCAATACAGACACAAGGGAGAACAGACAGGGGGAAGGCCCACTAGATGGTGCCATCCCTACACATAGATGCCTTCAGGGTTCACAAAAAAACTCCGACAGACAGTTGCGAGAGGCTGATGACAACTGATTACAACCACACATTCACAAAATGGTCAAATTATCGTATATTTGGCCTTTTTTGGGATTACTGATCGTACATCGTACAGAGGGCAAAATTGTCATACAAATACAATAATTATCGTACACCTGGCAACACTGGAAGCAAAGCACGTCGTCCTTCCGCCGCTTCGTCACCGCAGCCACGGCACCAACAGCCTCCCCCCCTTTGAGTCACACCTGGTAAAAGTGCCTGTACACCGTAGTGCCTGGAAGCTAACAAAAGTCAGTCCGCTTCTTCAGCCAGGGAGAGATAATCCTTTGTCTGGATCAGTGAGAAGCTAGCCAGCACAGTGCGAACAGGCAGAGGAAGCTGGCAAAGAATCGTGTAAAAAGGAAGGAAACATCCCCTGAGCCAAGTAACGCCAGCATGTTCTACATCAGCTCGGAGGGCTTGCGATCCCCCAAGCCACTCAGGGACAACAAACTGTCAGCCCGCTCCGTGTCTGACAGTTGGTAAAACCGCAGCAGGTTCTCCTTGAGTGCACTGTACTTAGTGCTTGGTGGGTCCCGCAGCAGACCCATCAGATGGCGGGTGGAACCAGAATCCAAAGCAGTAACGACGTGAAAGTACTTGGTCTCGTCTGTGGTTATCCCACAGAGATGAAACTGGGCTTCCACATGCTGGAACCATGGTTCCGGATCGTATTGTCAGAACTCTGGAAGCTTAACAACGGCCGCAAACACAGCAGCTGAAGCGGTGGCAGGAGACGAGACCACGGCGGTTGGAGCAGTGTCTGCCCGGCAAAAAGCTTGGTCTGAAAACACGGCTGATGGAGAAGCAGCTTTGGCATCTGGTGAGTTCTCATTCGAAAACGTTCAGATGTTTGGGGTCACCAATGTGGAAGTTGGCAGAAAGAGATGAAAAATATTTTGAGTCTCGATTTATTCTCTACGTCTTCCAACATCAAGCTCAGAAAAAAAACGAATGAATTACAACCGTTGATCCGCTCCGTTTATATTCTGTCCCTTTCACAATAAGAGCACATTCTGACGTGAAATATATACATTGTGTCCACCACAACCAAAAAGAAACAGGTTATGACACCATCCTCTTTTATTTGGCAACATAACCAGTAAATACCACCAAAAAGAGATACTTGGGCCTATTTAGATGCAGTATTTTATTCTAGACAAAGTTTTACATTAACAGCTTTTTAAAGAGTTGCTAGAAGGGTCTAAATATTAAATATACAGTAGTCCCTCATTTATCGTGCGGGATCCATACCCTGAAGTCCCACGATAAGTGAAAAACCACAAAGTAGGAATAGTAGTACAAGTAGTAAGTACAGTAGTAGTTTATTTTAGTATATGTGTGTATGTGTGTGTCATGTCCAATCTTATTCTGAAAAACCACGATAGAGCGAGTCCACAAAAAAACGAACTGCGAAGTAGCAAGGGACTACAGTATTGTTAAAATTACTAGGTTGTCAACTTTATAGTCTAGATTCTAGAATTGTGCTGCTCGGTGTGGCTGCATGTTGGAGCAGCTCTGTTACATTCATTCTGAGATATTGCTTTTGGAAACTTTGATTCCTCTTTTTCTGGACGTACAAAGTAAATCACCTTTTTTGGATGATTGTTTCCTCTGGTATCGGATGCTGTGCAGCTGGAAGGATTTTTACTGAACTTTTTTACTTTTGGACATTTGTTATGATGCATAACCATAACAACAAGGTGTTTTTTTACAACCGGGAGCTGCTGATCAACATCTCTAAAGCTCAAATAATACCTCAACTACAGCCCCAAATGTCAAATGAGTTGAAAAAGGAGGCACCATAGATGCATTCCTGTCTATTGGCCGGCTGTGCTTGAGTGCCTGACCATTGAGATCCTGGAACTGGCAGGAAACATTGCTCATGACATCAAGGACCGGGATCATGTCCTGACACCTGCAACTGGCTGTCCGCAGTGACAAAGAGCTAGGCAGGCTGCTGGGAGGAGTGGCCATTGGTCAGGGAGGAGTTCTTCCCGGGATTCGGGTGATCCTGCAGCTCGGGGGAACCGAGAGGCCAGCCAAGTCTGGATGGATGGATCGGAGGGCATCTGTGGCCATTTTCTTCTGATCCACTGTGGGACAGACCTTTACTAGAGATCCTTCCTGCATACAGCCATCAGTATCTATAACATCACTTAATGAAATGATGATAATGAGTTACACATTTAATTTCCCTTTGGGATTAATAAAGTATTTTTGAATTGAATTATGTATATGTGATATCAGGAAAAGATGAAGTCTGATGATGTGTGAAGTGATGGCTTGCCATGAGCTGTACCATCAGTCAGAACACAGAGTAGAAAAGGGCAGAATTAGACAGGCTACTTCAGTCCCTGCTTTTAAATCTCTCCTGGAACACACCTGTATTCACTGACATTTAATACTGTATCATTTGATTTATTATCCCATTGTTTCGCACTGTTTTTGTGTTTCTTTTTACGTTTTTTTATTTCTATATGCTTTTAATTATATCTTGTTATTGTTTCCTTGATGTTGTGATTGTATTGTTAAGCACTTTGGTAACAGTTTCTGTTTTACAGTAAATGTGCTCTATAAATAAATTTGACTTGTCTTGATAATCAGATGTACAGCAGAGGTTGAACAACTGGGAGATAAAGTATGACTGAGATGGTTTGGACATGTCCAGAGGAGGGACAGTGGGTATATTAGTAGAAGGATGTTAGAAATGCAACTGCCTGGAAAAAGACAAAGAGGAGATATATGGATGCAGTTAGAGAGGACATGGAGGTAGTTGGAGTGAGGACAGAGGACACAGAGGACAGAGTGAGATGGAGGAGGATGACTCGCTGTGGAGATCCTGAAGAGGGAAAAGCTGGAAGAAAAAGAAAAATAATATTATAGCTCAACACACACACACACATAAATTTTTTTTTTGTTGTTGTCAGGACTCCTTCACCCTGGTGATCTGTTGGTGGAGGTGAATGGTAACTCAGTGGTGGGCATGGAGCCAGAAAAGGTCATCCAGATACTGGTAGGTGATTAGAATTTTTTTTTTAATTTCTTAACCAACTAATATCTAGCAAGTCTTGGAACTTGAAACTTTCACAAAACTATATTGCATTATTGTTACTCTGACGATTATTGGTACTTGAGTAGCCATCAAAATATTGAGTGAAATTTTAAAGTGATTGTTCAGTTCTTAGCACGGTGGCACAGTTGGAAGAGCTGCTGCCTCTCAGCGAGCAGGTCCCTGGTGGCTTTTCTAGGTGGAATTTGCATGTGCTCTTCGTGCATGTGTGGGTTTTCTCCAGGTGCTCCAGTTTCCTCCCACAGACCAAAAACATGCATGTTAGTCTGATTGGTAACTCTCAATTGTCCCTAGGTGAGAGAGTGAATGGTAATTTGTCTCGTTTGTCTCTGGGATGGACTGGAGACCTGTCCAGGGTGTCCCCCACCTCTCATACAGTGATTGCTGGACATGGGCACCGGTGACCCCCACAACCCGAAAAGTAAGATGTGGGTAAAGATAATGGATGGATGGATGTTCAGTTCTTTTGTCATGATTTTTTCCAGGAAAAGTAAGACTGGACTTCTTGACTTCTTGTCCAGTGATCCAAGATCTTGTCTTGGCTCTTTGAAAGAACTAAATTTGACTACATTGACGAGAGCACATGCTCATCTGAAGAAGGCTGTGTTTTCTGAATTACTCTTGCGGTTGTTTTAATGGTTTATTAATAGAATGGGGTCAAAATTTGAGAAATAATATATAGAGTGACAGCACAGTGGCGCAACTGGTAGAGCTGCTGCCTCTCAGCGAGCAGGTCCCTGGTTCAAATCCCGGTCCGGGGGCCTTCTGGGTGGAGTTTGCATGTTCTCTCTGTGCATGCGTGGGTTTTCTCCGGGTACTCCGGTTTCCTCCCACAGACCAAAAACATGCATGTTAGGCTGATTGGTAACTCTAAATTGTCCCTAGGTGTGAGTGAGAGAGTGAATGGTTGTTTGTCTCGTTTGTCTCTATGTGTCCCTGTGATGGACTTGCAACCCGTCCAGGGTGTACCCCGCCCCTCGCACAGTGATTGCTGGACATGGGCACCAGCGACCCCCGTGACCCAAAATGGAAGAAGCGGGTAAAAGATGATGGATGAATGGATGGATGTATAGAATTTTCAGTTTGTTCTATAGTTTTGTAAAGTTCGTAAACCTTAGTAAAACTCATTTGTGTTTTTCTCTTTGGTGTCAGAATAAGTAGCATGTTTGTTCCTGACGTTCAATGATGATTTAGAATGAGAGAAAAAAAAATCTGTTGGCAGTCAAAAACACATCTCTAAATAACACATCTCTAAATAACACATCTCTAAATAACACATATCACATTGCCCCTGTGTTGTTCTATAGTTTAGTTGCTCTATTCTAGATTGTGCTTTGCTGTATAAACGTAAAACTGTGAATGAAAAAATGTGTACAAGTTACATTGTTTATAAATAGTTAAGAATTATGACTGTTGTGAAATTGACCTACTTAAAGTACATATTTACTTGTTTTTCTCCTGGTCAGACTAGTTCCAAAGGCACCATTCTGTTTAAAGTCATTCCAAATTCTGCACAAGTCAGCATCAATCAGAAGCCGGTAAGAAACATCCACCTCATCACCTCATCTCATGATAGTGAAAGCTAAAAGCATCTCTAGTTGTGAAGTTCTGACATTTAAAAATGGAGTTCTAAACCATAAAGTAATGCCTACCTGAGCTGCAGAAACGTTGGTGTTCTGCTCCATCTTGTAAAAATACAAGACCAATAACTTCAGTATAATACTTCCAACACAAGGCAACAAGAATCCAAAACTTCCAGGACCTGCAGCTCTGTACAGCATGACCCCGAAGCCAAACCCATCTGTTCTCTGACTGGATCGTTAAATTTATGATTGACATGACATTGACCAATCAGCTGAGAGGAGTAAAATTCAGGTCAAAATTTTCACACATATATTTTGTATTCATATCTGTAAACAGAACATAGTAAAAAAAAGTTTTGTAACTTGTGATTTTTTTTACTAATCCTTTTTACAAGGTTAAAAATCTTTTTTACACATACAAATCTTATTTACAAGGTTACAAATCTTTTTTACACATATAAATCTTTTTTACAAGGTTACAAATATTGTTTACACATACATATCTTTTTTACACATACAAATATTTTTTTTACAAGGTTAAAAATCTTTTTTACTCATACAAATATTTTTTTACAAGGTTACAAATCTTTTTTACACATACATATCTTTTTTACACATACAAATATTTTTTACACATACAAAATCTTTTTTACAAGGTTACAAATATTTTTTATACATACAAATATTTTTTACACATACCAAGTCATTTTTACAAAGTTACAAATATTCTTTACACATACAAATGTTTTTTTTACAAGGTTACAATTCTTTATTTTACACATACCAAATCTTTTTTTACAAGGTTACAAATCTTTTTTTTACAAGGTTACAAAGCTTTTTTACACATATAGATTTTTTACAAGGTTACAAATCTTTTTTACACATACAAATCTGTTTTTTACAAGGTTAAAAATCTTTTTACACATACAAATCTTTTTTACAAAGTTACAAATATTCTTTACACATACAAATGTTTTTTACAAGGTTACAATTCCTTTTTTTACACATACCAAATCTTTTTTTACAAGGTTACAAATCTTTTTTACACATACAGATTTTTTTTACAAGGTTACAAATCTTTTTTACATGTGTAAAATATTTATGGCTGGAATTTGAGCCCATATCATTATCCCCACATTTAGAGTTGCAACCCTCAGTCTTACATTCGTTGGTTACGTACTGTAACCCCAGATTCTATGAATATAGGCGTAGCCCTTTAAGGCTGTCGCTGATGGGTTTATCCCGTTATGCAGAGCATAAGCACTGAAAAAAATTTAGTCCATGCCCACCTGCTGTGTGGGCCCCACCCGGTCCGTATAAATTACGTTAAGAGTGGGAAATCGGCTCCCAAAATAACTTTTTTCTTCAGCCATTTAGGAGCCAGTGAGGCCCGACGCTTAAAGGGCTACGCCTATATTCATAGAATCTGGGGTTACAGTACGTAGCCAACGTTCTATGTCATATAGGCTTCGCCCTTTAAGGCTGTCGCTGATGGGTTAAGGGCAAAGCGGATGTGGTCCTCGCCTCACTGGGTCCATTCAAACACAGTAAGAAGCGGAAGCTTGCCCAAAAAACGTCTTGTCACTCAGCTCCCCGTGTGCATAACTACGCATCGCGTAATTATGTGCCATGCACAGACGCATGTTGTGTAGCTATGCGTTCTGACAAAGCATGAATGCCCCGGAAAACTTTCAACGGGAAGAAGAAGTTGAAAAGAGGGGGGGGGGGGGCATGAACCAACTGGTTCATGGCTGAACAGTATAAACAGATTAATGTCCATGAATTGATTATTGATCAAATGAACTGATTGGTAACAATAATCATGAACTGATTAGTGACAATAGAACCAAAAACACAGACACGACTTGTGACTGATAACATCTCACACTGTAATGCATGCAGACAGAAGTGAGCTTAAACAGAGTTCCATGAGAACAATAATATTCATTCTGTTAGAGCACTAAGGACAGAATGTGTCATGGAACGAACCGTTACATCACGTAGGTAAAAGCGAATAAATGAGCAGGGTGTTGACCATGCAGCCGCAGTGCAAATGTCCTACATTGACATACCATTATGCAGAGCAGTCCAAGATGCGATACCCCTGGTCGAGTGTGCTTTGAGGTTGACAGGAGGCTCTAAATCTGATGCTCTGTAGGCTTCAGAAAAAACCTCACACAGCCAGTGTGACAAGCGCTGGATGGATAACGGGCGACCTGCAGAAGCATCTCTATAATGCACAAACAATTGTTGAGTTTGAAAACGCATTGCAACTGTGCGCGCTATGTAACACGTCAACGCCCGCACCGGGCAGAGAAGATGAAAAGATGCTTCCTCTTCTGATCTGTGGGGGGGAAAGAAACCCCTCCAACGATATCACTCTTGATTTAAAAGAGCTCGTGATGTTTTAGGCATAAAAGCTGGGTTTGGTCGTAAATCAGCTGAGCTGCCCGTCAGCCTAAATTCTAAGGCATGACGAAGCAACAGAGAGGGCAGATAATTACTTACCCTCTTAGCGGGTGTTAAAGCCAGCAGCAGGGCTGTTTAAAGAGACAAGAATTTTAAGTGAAAACCTGATCCAGAGGCTCAATTGAAGCTTTGATCAGGACTCGCAGGACCAGCGTTAAATCCCACTGTGGAGCAAGTGGACGTGAAGCAGGCCTGCGTCTCTGAACACCTTTTAGAAAAAACGCTTCATCAGCGGGTGATAAAAAGCTGTTCTGTCTCCGAAACCTTCGTGGCAGGAAGAGATGACTGCAACGTACGTTAAAGCGTACTGAATGCCAACTTCCTATCCATCAGCTGTTGTAGAAAAACAACACGCCGCCTAAAAGGCATGAGGTGGCCTCTAAACCTTTCTCTGTACACCAGCGCTGAAAAGCCGTCCCCTTTGATGTGTACAGAACTGTGGTAGATGCAGCACGTGAATCTTGAATTGTGCACACTATCTCCTGAGGGAGACCCATCCTCTCTAAGTGGGACCGCTCAGCGGTCAGACCCACAGGTGCTGACCTATTTCTGGGTAACTCTTGATCGCTCCTCCTGCCTGAAGGAGAGCATCCTCCCTCCACGGCAGTTCCACGGCGACCCGACAACAGACGTTGCAGGCCTGGGAACCATGGTGCATTCACACGCTCGGGAGCCACCAGGAGAGCTGTCAATCCCTCCTCCTGAACTCGGTTCAGGAACCGTAAAAACAGAGGAGGTGGGGGAAAAAACGCGTACAAAAGCGTTTTGGGCCACGGGCTGTGAGCAAATGCGTCCCCCCCCAGCGATGGATCGTCTCGCGGGCTCAGGGAAAACCATAGTTGACACTGAGCGTTCTCTCGCGTCGCAAACAGGTCCACAGCTGCTTTGCCAACTTCTGCCACGTCTGAAAACATCAGATCTGGATGGAGGGTCTGGTCCACGTGACGTGGGCCGCCCCTGGACATCACATCTGCTCCTCTGTTCAGAACACCGGATATGTAAACCGCTCTAATGAAGAGCAGGTTTTGATGAGCCCAACACGGTAGCTTTCGCGCAATGTGTAACATCTGGGCTGAACGCACACCCTTTGATGGTTATGTACGCAGCAGTCATCATGTTGTCTGTGTGAATCAACACGTGTTGATTCTGTAGCACGGGAGCAAAGTGTTGAATCATATTCAGTACTGTGCGACACTCCAAAACATTGATGTGGGCTGATGTGTAGTGGGGCCACAGCGCCCCTACTGCTTGAGATAGGCATGTCCCCCCCCCCCCAGCCTGACAGCGACGCGTCCGTGAAGACTGACCCGTGTGACGTGGGTCTGCTGAGGGGGACTCCCTCTGACAGAAACAAGGTGTTTCCCCAGAGTCGGAGGTCTGCTCTCACAGAGGAAGGGACAATGATCATCCGTCGTTTTGTTTTACTGGATCCACATGCAGACGTGCAAAACCACCTCTGGAGGCGTCTCATGTGTAACAAACCAGCGGAACCACTGTGTGAGTTGATGACATCATTCCCAACAGCTTCATGACGGAGACAGCTGTTATCACTTGCCAGGTCTTACGTGGCTGAGTTGACTTTAAAAAAGTGTTGAATCTAGTTTGTGATAAACGAGCTTTCATGGTGGTTGAATTTAATTCCACTCCCGGAAAAACAAATGTCTGGGCCGGGAAAATCGAGCTTCCTTCCAATTTATGGCGAAGCCCAGATTTAACAGGTGTGATGTCAACACCTGATCCTGCATCAGCGCCTCCTGTCTAGAGTGACAGGAGCATCAGATCATCCAGGTAAAACAAAAACTCTCGTCTCTGTGTTAGGATGATCGGTATGCGTTCTCTGGATGTTATACAACAGATCCAAAAAACGGTCTCACCCCTCCGATCCGTGAGTAAAAACCCTGTGTTTTCTCTCCGTTGGGGGACTCTGTAGATTACTTTTATCAGAAACACTTGGACTTCTGCATTTAGGGATGAGATTTAGTCTGATGATGACGGGACCGTTTTAATAACTCCTCTGAATGGAGGGGTTCGGGTTGCAAACTGTAACTTGTACCATTTGCATAAAACCTTGTCCATCCATCTGAAAAATGGCGAGCATGTTTTAGCCACTCTACGTAACGTTCGTAGGGTGAACGTGCGTTAAGTGATGTGTCACGTTTTGTACGGCTGTCAGCAGTCCGCCCCTCAACCGCCGTCATGCGTCGCGGGAATGTTTTCTGTGTGATCCAGGGCGAGGCTTGTGCTGAGGCGAAGCGTGTGACAGCTGATGACGCGGTGGGGCTGCGCGTTTGACGTCGCTGTGCGAACGTTGAGAGGCGGAGGGCGTGACTTCATTTACGCCGCGATGTTGGAGTGAAGGCTGCTAGCCCCGCGGGAGCACACGTTTTTCTCCGGAGGGACGCGCGCCGCTCTCGCTGGAGGGGCGCGCGCTGGAGGGAGGCGGGACTCATTACCGGGTTCGTTCAGCTGCTTCACGTTTATGCTGCCGTGAGCTGCCGAACACTGAGACGCGGTGGGTGACGGCTGCCCGCGTTTGATTCGTTGAGACGGGTGTCGCTTCTTGTGAGAGAGAAGGACCTCCACCCGAACCAGCCTGCGGACCACATTTATACCGATGTGAGCTGGTTAGCGCCGGGCAGCTGTGTGTGTGCGCCAGCATCAACGCAGCGCCGTTGGATGGAGGCTGTTTCATCCTTGTGATCGACTCGTCATGTCTAGAGCGGCGGTGAGTTTAAAAAACCTTATTTAAGGACACCGGCTCGTGTGTGGGGGCTGTTTCATCCCACGAGTGCGAGTTGACATCGCTTGAGTGAAAATCGTGCAGCTCGGGATTATAACGAGTTATTTTCACTTACCATCGTGCCCTGTAAGCGACTAGTAATGTCTTGGAGCGGCGGTGAGTTTAAAAAACCTTATTAAGGACACCAGCTCTTAATGTGTGCGGCCGCTGTAAGCTCATCCGAACTTACAGACTGGCTAAAAAACAGACACTTTGATCATTAATGATGATTTATTTAAACTTTCGTGTCACTTTTACACACACCCTCCGGAGACTGTCATTTTGAGAAACTTCTCTCTCATGAGCTCTGCGATTGTTTGCCCAGAGCGCTGTCTTGCAGGCAAACTCTGGGGAAACGCTGAGCTGCAGGTTGCCGGAATGAAGAGGGCTGGATTCTGACGGGCGGGGCTGGTGGTGGAACTCAGCGAGAGCCGCGGCCGTGGAAAAGTCGAAGCTTGCTCGCGACGGTCCCTCCAGCGGGCCGGGATGAGCCGCGCGGCTTGATGAGGTGGCGCACAGCCTCTGGCACCTCCTCCGACTGTTTCAATTCGCCAGCATGGTTTGAAGCTGCTCTGAACAGCGCGTCCGCGATGGGCTTCATCAGGTCTTGTGCAGTTTCTCCGGCAGCGAGGGGAGTAACGAAGCCAGGTGGATCGTTGGATCATCGTCATCCGCGCTACAGTCCTCGACAGGCAAACCGTAGGAGAGGCACATATGTTGAGCTGGCGTCAGCTGCCTTACAGAGGGAGTTCTTTGTCTCTAAGGCAGGTCTGCGGCCTTCAGTCCCTTGGACATGCTATATGCTAGCAGCGCACGTTGTTGCTAACTGCGGCTGCCTGAAAAACACATCGGTGGGCTCGATTGGAGAGCGTGGTCACCGTCTGGTTCGTGTTCCTCCGGAGGGACGGGACGCTGCTCCGACCTGGGCAGCTTCGCTCCGAAAGCTTCCGCGAAGCTTGGCTCCAGGGGGGGTTACCGAGGAATAGCCCCGCTCGGTGAATCCCTCAACTCTGGTGATGGGAGCGGACTGGGGACCGACTCCTCCAATCTACCAGGAAAGAACCGTCTGTGGCCTCGCCCGTCGAACGTCCTGTTGGAACGCGAGGCCGTATGGATCAAGACGGTGAGCCACAGTGGAGCCCAGTGAAAAACAACCTTCCCGCCGATCATCCGAACTGGCGGGAAAAGGCGTGGGATGTAGAAAAAAAGGGGTCCCTTCATGTCAGCCTCCTCCTGGGTTCCGCCGGGCAACCGTGAGGGCGCTGTCGGCCGGGAGCGGTGTGATCGCCGATGCGAAACGAGGTGGGATGGGGTGAGCATTCACTCAGCCCCCCTCCACCTACACTACGCTCCCCAGGAGGGAATGAGCAGCGGGGGCTGCAGCTGAGCACGCCTTGCCCCGGAGGTACCATCCGGTTCGCCCCGAGGGTCGGCGATAAGAGGAAAAAATACAAGATGGCGTTGTCCAGCGTGTAGTGACCTGTCACTGGGAAATGTTCCCCGACGCTTACCTTGGAATAAGACTGCTCGTCATCTTCTCCTCGGGGAGGAGAACTCACCGGACGACCGGAGGTCGACTGCCGGGCCAAGCATCCTTCACAAAGGTTGGTCATTTACACAATTTATCCTCTTTGTTCTTCTGATAGTGCTATATTAGCTCGCTGAAGAAAAAATGGGAGCCGATTTCCCGCTCTTAACGTAATTTATACGGACCGGGTGGGGCCCACACAGCAGGTGGGCGTGGACTAAATTTTTTTCAGTGCTTATGCTCTGCATAACGGGATAAACCCGTCAGCGACAGCCTTAAAGGGCGAAGCCTATATGACATAGAACTTGGTTTTCCTTTTATCCCTTTATCTCCTGACACATTCCCCTCCTCGTGGTCTTCGACTATCAGTAGCACAATTTCTGCCAGCACCCTGTTTGTCAACAGCACCGGTGGTGGTTGTTGTTAACGCAGTTCTCGACCCATCTAGAATGATGTCACTTATATGAACATGCATTACAGTTTTGGCAAAAGTGTTTTACGTCAGATTCCCTTCCTGATACAAACCTCTCCATTTTCCTTGGCCTGGACCAGAATGAGAGATACACTGGCTTGTACATCTTATGGCTGGTTTCAACACCTAACTCTACACACAAATGTGCCAGTTTTTGAGAACAGCGGATAAATAATTCGGTAACATGTTCAACAAAATCCCTTTGACCTTCATTTAGCAAAAACAAGTATGTATGACAATGACAAAAATGTCACATTTTAAAATGGACACGTTTGACAGAGTCAGTTTTACAGTTTGATATTTAAACTGAGAAATAGCTGTTAATGTTTTTCACTATGCTTTTATTTTTAAGTGTGTTGTGTGATTGTTTCAAAAGCTTCCAATGCCAAATGTTTAGCCTTTCTCTACAAGCTCCAGTATATTTTTATATGAACCAACATCTTTATCTTTATGCAGACGCTCATAAATCAGTTTTTCTCTGATAGCTTCTTTTTTTTTTTACAGTCTAAAAAGAAACAAGGTTTTCCTCCTTTACATTTTTCTTCAGGTGTACATGAGGGCGATGGTGGATTACTGCCCACTGCAGGACTCCTGCATCCCCTGTCCCGATGCAGGGATGGCTTTCAACAGAGGAGACCTACTGGAGGTGGTCGACCAGTCAGACGGACAGTGGTGGCAGGCCAGGAAACTGCCCTGCGGAGCATCCTTCGCTGGTTTGATTCCTTCTGCCAGCATGCTAAAGAGGTCTTTCTCGCTGCCCCCCCCACACACACACACAAGTTTGTCTTTCTATCTTTACAGGGACTTTGCGTTGAGATCCATTCATTTTTCATTCATTTCTATTGCCTAACCCTGATCCTTGCCCTAAACCTAACCATATGCTGCTGATGTATTTCACGCTGCTGTGTTCATTCGTACTCATCTGCTCACACAGACTCATGTTCGTGCTGCTGTTGTTCGGTGTATTGTACTACTAGTGCTTATTGTATTCTAAGTTTAGCATATTTCTTAGTTCTTATCTTAGATCTTATTACTGCTTTGTTTTTATGATTTATACTTTTATTGGATGAAACTGGGACACTGTGTACACAATTTCGTTCCACCACATGCACCACATGTGGTGCGAATGACAAATAAAGAAACTTTGACTTTACCAATATATACCTAAGGCCCCCAGTATACTGCCGCGTATGTCCGTTGACACGTACGTACGCGTGTACCGTACGCAGAGGGTTCAGACTTCATACTCCAGCGTACACCCCGAGCAGCTGCAGAGCAGCTTCACAGACAAGGGGCGTTTACCTTCGGGACAAATTGAGGTCGCCGATTGGTCATGTGCTGACACGCCTACTGGACTGATTGACAGGTCGGAAAAAAGAAAAAAGCGAGCGCTGGCAGCCTCAGCCACAGTGGTGTTCTGTGTTTATATGTTGGTAATAAAAAGATAAAAAAAAAAAAAAAAACAGGGAACGCTGGCTCCACAGCCCACACATCAGACCAGCCCACCAGGAAATCTCCAGACCCTCCCACAGCCACGCTGGACCTGAGTTTAATTTGCTTGTGACAAATTCCTTAATTTCTCATCATTTCAGTCATAGCATCAACGGAGGAGGAAGAGATCACTGCCTCTTGGCAAAAAAAAAAACTAAAGAAAAGGCCAGGTCAGGGATGAAGAAGAGGAATTTAATATATTGGTGTCACATACAAAACAGTCCGTCACTGGCCAGTTTATTGTGCGACACGGCGTATGCGTATGCGTATGCGGTTGTAAAAATTGAGCTTTGCACGGACGTGCCCTGGGGGGAGGGGGGTACGCTCGTACCTCCGCGTACGTACGTGCGTACCTCTGCATATGGACGTACGCGGGAGTATACTGGGGGCTTAACCCTAAACCTAACCCCTAACCCACCAATGGCACTTCTTATAGGGCCCAGACTTTGGGCCCCATAAGTCTGGGCCCTATAAAGAGCAGATGGTCCTCATAATGTAGTATGTGTTAGCAAAATGGGCCTTACAAAGCAACAAAGATGCACACACACACACACACACACACACACACACACGCGCGCGCACACACAATCCTGATGCCTGCTGGTCTCACAGGCCACCAGACAGAGAAATTTCAACATTTCTGTACAAATTGCAGTTTTTCAAAGTAAAAAAAAAAATGTTAATATGACAATGAATCCCAACTATCAGAAAATATTAGAGTTAAAAATATATGAACAATGTGTCAGACAGATTTAAATATTTGTTTGTCTCTATTACTCAAAAGTTTTTTTTTAATGAAGTAGAAAGTATTTGCATTCATTTTATGAATACTTGACTAAATGTAAAAATTCTGCATAGACTATAATTTTTTTGAGAACATAACTGAATATTACATGTTATTTTCATTCATTCATTATTTTAAACACTTCTGCTGTTGTGATGTGGTGTGGTGGTTGAACCCAGTTGAAAGCAGGACTCGGAGACCCAGTAGGTAAAATAAGAAAAACTTTTAAAAATGCAAAAACAAAAAAGAGTTAATGTGGCAGCTGAACTCGCGTAACCAGGAAACCTGTAGAAATCATGAGAAATGCTAGAGACTCAGGAGGCTTCACCAGACAATGCCCAGACAACAAATAACAGACAAAAGCAGACTTTTATACAGAGATTGACAAGACATAACCAGAAACTCCTGGATAGGATGCGCATGTGACACAGGGATGGTCTAATTACTAGAACAGGACACCAGGGAGTGTAGGAGCAGAAACCAGCCACAAGAGGACACCATCCTCATAGCACCCCCGCCCCCCAAAAGACGTCCCCTGATATCCCCACAACCCCCACCCCAAAACTTGGGTGGGAGGAGGGGGAAACCGCAAGGATGGAGGGCACAAGGGAACACAAGGGAAAAAAACAAAAACAGACAGGGTAGAACCTGGGAACTAAACACAAGGACAAACACAAAAAGGGTTAGTTAGGTGGTCAGAGGACCATCCAACATGGGACCACATCTCCAAGGAACGGCCAGGAGCCCGTCCATCATGCAGCAGCAATTCAGATGGGCGGTTGGGAGTCAGTTCAACACGTGTCAGCAGGAGAGGTGGGCGGCTGCGAGACCGTCCAGCACATGGAAGCAGTCCAGGGTCGGTGGCTGGGAGGCTCTCCAGCATGTGGAAGCAGTTCAGGTGGGCGGCCGATAGAGATGGACACCTTGAGAGACACTGACGACCAAGCATGGGGAAAGAGAAGCAGAGGAACCATGAGTTCCACAGCTGGCATTGAGACTAAGGAGACTGCAGCTGGTGTTGAGATCAGGCAGGCTGCAGATGATACTGAGACCAGGGAGGCTGGTATCAGAAGCACAGTCTGGGAAGCACAGCCAATGAGGAGACCTCAGGGGTAGGAGGAGTCGTAGCCACATCAGGGGTTATAGTCACTTCAAGAGGTTTGGAAACCACAGTAAATGGCTTGGCACCCACAGGGAGTGATGTGGAACCCGCAGGAAGTGGCATGGAACCCACAAAAAGCAGTGTGGAGCCCATAAGAAGTGGCATGGAGCCCACAAGAAGGGTTGTGGAACCCACAGAAAGTGGCATGGAACCCACAGGAAGCGGTGTGGAAGCCTCGAGAGGCATGGAACCCTTGGGAAATGTGGAACCCTCATGAGGTGTGAGACCCTCATGAAGCGTGGGACCCTCACAAGATGTGGGACCCAATGTAGGCTTGGGACCCACTGGAGGCTTGGAATCCACTGGAGGCTTGGGACCCACTGGAGGCTTCAGACCCACTGGACCCGTTTTCGAACTGGTCTAAAAGTGCGTTCCTTCTTCCAACCGAACTCAGTGTTCAGTGGACTCAGAAAGCCAAACGGGACCATCTGGGAGGTTTTTTTTGGTCGAATACTGTCCACTTCCTTCCCATTGGTCACTCCGAGTGCAGCCTGCCTGCCAGGTGGCCCCTCAAGCGGTGGAGTCATTGTCCGAAGGGCCTAAATTTTTTTTCTCTGGACTCTAACTGGACTTTTCATCTGGATCTCTGTGGTTCTGCTTGGTTCCAATGGGGATCTCTGTGTAGTATTGAGCCAACTTTCTATTGGACCAGCTCCTCGTGGATTTTTTATTTTTTTTATTTATCCGTTATTTATACAGGTAGTCTCATTGAGCCACGAGAACTCATTTTCAAGAGAGATCTGTTTAGGGAGCAGATGGGGGTTAAGGGCCTTGCTCAAGGGCCTAGAGTGGGGCGAATGAGGGTGGGGGCAGGTGTGGGTGCTTCACCTATACCACCCACATTTTTGATGTTGTCGGTCCCGGGGCTTGAACCGGCGATCTTCCGATCACAGGCCCACCTTCTCTAACATCAGCGCCACCACTCCCCATGGATGTTTGCTGTCAGCCATGGGGAAAGTTGACCCAAGCAGGACCAGAACCGAGCCAGTCTCAGCCTCAGCGGACAGACAGATACTTTTCATCAAAGGTCTGGCCACCTTTGTGGATCTGGTGTTGGCCGCAGATGAGCCTGACGGAACCGAATCAGAACAGAACCGAGACAGGCTGTGGGAGAACTTGACCCAAACCGAGCCCATCTCAGCCTCAGCGGGCAGCCCGATACTTTTCATCGAAGGACTGACCGCCTCCATGGGATTTGCTGTTGGCCACGGTGGAGCCTGACAGAACCATACCAGAACAGAAATGAGCCAAGGACAGCTCCAGCCGCTACAGTCTGTCTGACCACTGCTCACCTGGAGGAAGCCTCTCATGCTGGGAAGCGTTGAGGAGGAGTTGCTCGAAGGAAGGCCGATGTCTGTATCAGAGCTCTGCTGGTCTTCCATTTGAACTCACCTGGATTAATTGGATTCGTACAGGACCACCGGTTTCAGAGCTGGTCACCACCGGTTTCAGAGCTGGTCAGCTGAAGGATCGAATCATGCTGTTGGTACAGTCTGCTTATCTCTTTGAATTTGGTTTGTATACCCCAAATCCTTGAAGGGTTTTACCAGAAGGTTTTATTTTTTAAATTCTAATCTGGATCAGATCTCTGTTGATCCGAGCCGAGCCAGGACCATGCTTTCCAGAATTTGTTTGTTTCTGCCTGTTGGTTCTGGACCCAGTATATGTCCAACATGAGAGCAGATGGAGTGAAATATTTACACCAGGATGCAGCTTGAATTCCCCTCAGTCCAATTCAAACTGCAATTGGTTCACCATGCCAGGCCCACCAGTCCATTTGATCTATGATGCTGTCTGGTCTGAGACTTTTCTGTACCTTTCCCATCATTTTCAGATCTCTGACTATTTGGAGTCACTGAATCTTGTTAGCGCATTTGGATCTGCCTCTCCCTGCAAACTTCCATGTTTTGGGGTTCTGAGTAATCATGTCTTTATAAACTTTTCTCACCATGGTTCGATTATGGGAGCTAATTGTCACACTATTAATTCCTATAATTATATATCTGTCACAAAAAAAAAACACAAGAAAATGTACAATAATAATATTGTTACTGCGCTCAGTGTTTTGTAGATTTGCTCGCTGACTTGACAAAAGCCCAGTTAGGATATCCACATGTTAGAAGAGCTTCTTGAACGTGTTTCAGTTCCTTTTCCTTCCCTTCTGTCCTTGTGGGGACGCATTCGGCCCGATGTTGTAAAGTTCTGATGACAGAGAGTTTAGAGGAAATCTACAAAACACACCAATAAACAGAAAAAGGAGAACAACAGACGTAAAAACATTGTCATCCCTTATGTTGCTGGAGTATCAGAGAAATTCAGAAGGATCTTCAACAAACACAACATCCCAGTACATTTCAAACCCAGCAGGACTCTCAGACAGAGACTGGTCCACCCTAAGGACAAGACACCCATACACAAGCAGAGTGGTGTAGTGTATGCGGCCCAGTGCAGCGAGGACTGTCCAGACCTCTACATTGGAGAAACTAAACAGCCTCTTCACAGACGCATGGTTCAACACAGGAGAGCCAGCTCCACAGGACAAGACTCAGCTGTTCACCTCCATCTCACAGATAAGGGACACTCTTTTGAGGACCAAAATGTGCACATTTTGGACCGAGAACACAGATGGTTTGAGAGGGGGGTGAAGGAAGCAATTTATGTAAAAAGAGAAAAGCCGTCTCTTAACAGAGGAGGAGGCCTCAGATTCCCACTTTCAAAAACATATAATGCAACTTTAAAACAGATTCCCAGCCGGTTTTCACACCTGATGGGAACAGAGGGGCCTCGTCTGTGAATTAGAGGAACAAAGACCTACTGTTTTAGGTTTTAGGTGTGAACTGCCAATCTACATATGTGTGTGTGTGTGTGTGTCTTATGTGTGTGTGTCTTTTCTCACTCAGCCTTATAACCTGTATCTCTCACTCTCTGCTCTTTGAATTGAGAAAGCTCCTCGGATGAGGAGCGAAACGTCTTCTGTTACAAATAAAGTCCAGTTGTTTTTGTATTGAACGCTTTTTGAATTCATCATGTCCTGGATGACTGAGAATCTTCACCAACCTTATAAATAGCACCTTCTCAGAGTGGATCAACCAGTTTGCTGCTGACAACCAAAACCAGCTGATCACATGGTCAAGAAGGACCATCAGCCTAACAATGGATCATTAGCACCTGATGGCTGTTTACTATTCACAGAGGGCTGAGTGATACTAGTAGGGGCCGTTTACACGGCGTGTATTTTAGTGCATCCGCAGCTTTCTCTCTGAGGTTCTGCTGATCACTTACTTGACACCAGTGGCCCCCCTCTTTGAATCCGGAGGTTTCTGAACCCACCTTCCAGAGTGGAAGTTTTTGTCTGACCCCCTGCTGATAATTTAAACATCTCCTGCTGAGGCTTTGTGTTAAACCACATGCGCACACGCACGCGCGGACAGACGCTATATTTCTATCAACATGGCGGTGGACACAGTGCTTTCAGAACTATGACTGATGGAATATATTTTAATCTCGTAGTTAATCTACGTCAGATTCCAGGTTTCTGTGACCGACATCTGTGTTGGAAGAGACACAGTCTGATCCAGGTCTAATGTCGCTGTTTATAGAACGAGGCACGCGCACACGTCGCGCTGCACTATAACATTAAAAATGTGCTAAATAATAAGTTTAATAATAATAAACTGTTTTTATCTTAAGTTTGAGATATATAATGAAGCTCTCTGAGCTAAATGAAGCTATCTGGACATTATGTAATTCTAATTATGTGATTAAAATGATGCTAAACATATTGCATGCTATTAACATTGAAAACGAAGACATCAGGTTTAATTTTTATTTTATTTATTTATTCAACCCCACAAGCTGATAATTAAACTGAACATTGAATGGATTGAATAAAAGAACTGAGGGGAATTATAAATGAATAGTTCATCCATCATCTCTCTCTTCGACGTCCTGCTCCCGAGCCTCGTTCAGAACCGGTCCGCCTGGTGGGAGACAGCTCCTTCTTTTTCAGGAAAAAATAAAAACTCAGTTGGTTGTTTTGTAACTGAAGTAAACACAAGCTAACATTATTAAGAACATTTGATTTACCTGCTGTAAACCAGCTACAGATTATCATGCAGTAAATTCCAACATTGTCGACTCGGTTCTGGCCCACTCAGCGACCGGTGTGGAGCTGTTAGACAAAGCGGTCCCGCTTGTTGTCAAATCTGTCGACTCTTATCCACAATCCAGCTTTAACTTGTTGTTAAGATGTTGTTAGCAGAGCTGATTAGCTCACAGGACACAGCGTGCCGAGGCAGCACGCATGCGCATTAGGTGAAGGTACAAAATTCACAGCGCCATCTAATGACCCAGCATGGTAACTACAGCGGATTTGGGAGGGCGGGGGGGGGGGGGATCTTGCGGATGCATGTAAACCCAAAATACGACCGTGTCAATGCAAATCTTTTCCTCTAATTAACATACGAAAAAACCTATGTTTCCCCCCATCGTGTCCGTGTAAATAGGGCCTAGCAATCACAGCATTGTAAGAGGGGGACAGTTGAACTCGTAGGCCTCCACCCCTGTTTAATGATGGACGGTTTCTTTTCACAAAGATGGCCTCCTTTACTCCTCTCTCAAACCATCGTTCCTCTCTGTCCAGAATGATCCTTGATCATGTGAGCAGCTGGTTTTGGTTGTCAGCAGGAAACTGGTTGATCCACTATGACAAGGTGCTATTTGTAAGACTGAGCTGAATACAGACTGAAGAAGTCTTTTGGATGAAAGACAAAACGGTTCCACTTTTTTTGGTTGTTTTTGTTTTCTGAACGTCCAGAGGACCTGACGACATTTTTAGAGGTCAGTGCAACGAGTTTAAATCATTCATGGTTTTGAGGCAGTTTATGACAGGGACAATCACAGCATGCATCCAACCTTTTGAGTCATGCTGGGTCTGAAAAGACTTGTTAAATGTGTAAAAAACAACAACAACAGTTGTTTAGCACCAGATTTTAACAGTCAACCGCAAATATTGTCAGCTAGTTTAGTTTATTTGTCATATGCAGGTTAACACAAGGTCAACAATGCAATGAAATGTTCAGGATGAGAAGAACCGATTTGACTCACCAAGTCAAAAAAGAAATACTAAAGCAATAAAAGTACACAATAAAGTTTCAAAAATCGAAAAAATAAATGAACAATATTTACAGGGTCCAAAAGAAATATAGTAAACAAAAACATGGTAAAATATAGTGATGCAAGTAGGATGAAATAGTATAAGTATTTCACAGGTAGTAATATTAGCTTAAATGCGCATGATATATAATGCACATAACATATACTACACAGGTTGTGCGACAGGTTATTGCACATGTAGTGAGTGACATTGAGATTAACTGAATTATGATGGTAAGGTACATACATACATGATACAGCCACATAGTGCAGCAGTAAACATATTAGGTGTCACAGATGCGGCTTAGTGCAATGTTATTATCAGGCGTTTAGTAATTTATAGCTTGTGGGTAATACTGTAACGGTCTTTGAGTCTTTTTGTGCACCATAGCAGACTCCTATTGTCTGCCTGAGAGTAGTAGGCAGAAAAGTCCTTGTGCTGGGTGGGTGTGGTCCTCAATGATACAGCGTGCTTTACGCAGACATCGGCTGTGGTAGATGTCCTGGATGGTGTGGAGACTGCTACCAGTGATGTCCTCTGCTATTTGCACCACCCTGTGTAGTTCTTTCTGACTGGTGCAGTTCATGTACCACCCTGTGATGCAGCCTGTCAGCAGGCTCTCAATGGTGCACATATAAAAGTTAATGCCAGTGCCAGCTAATAATTAAATTAAATTAAATTCAGTTTATTTCTATAGTGTCAAGTCACAACAGATGTCATATCAGGGACTGAACAGAAACATTAATAAATAAAAATAATAATTTAACATTATTTACCTGAGGAGCAGCTTTGAGTTTAACTCTCATCTTGAGCAAACATGAAGGCGACAGTGGAAAGAAAAACTCCCTCATGAGGAAGAAACCTTTAGCAGAACCAGGATCAGGACAAGAGGACCATCTGCTATTAGTCAATTATGAAAAAGCAATCCACTTTAGCCTCAGTTGTGACTCATTGCTCTGCTTAAAATTAAACTTTATCTAAACCGCCATCATTTAAGGAGCTTCCAACAACAGGTAAGACACAAGTTGTTAACTTTACAAAGAAACGTACTTACAAAGGCAGAAATATCCCTTTGAATAAAAAATGTCATTTTCTTGTTAATATTGTTTTTATTTACTTTGTAAAAGCTTTAATGTTTACAGTTGTCATTCTTTGACTGTGTGTTTTCTGCAGTCGACAGAAGGAACAGTGGTGGGGTCAGCCATTACAGGTCCACACCTGCATCAGACCCTGTGAGGACTTGATCATTCTTTCTAATGCCACCGTCTTCATCTCTGCCAAACATCCAAGACCTTCCTAGCACATATTGTGATTTTATTATTTCTGCTTAACTTGGGTGATTAGAAAACTCTGGGATATATGCACTTACAAGCGTTATGACACTGAAACCATGAATTGCTTTGAAGCTGCACTGATATGTCTGAACTCACCTGTGTTTATGACAGTTAAATGCAGTTAAGCTTACCTTGAAACGTACGTGTTGTGTAGTGAAAAGGCAGTGTGGTTACCTGTTCTCTGTTTTCAGTCTTTTGTAAAGTATCAAACTAATCCTAAACTCAATAACTACAATGTAGTAAAAAGCTATGAAATTGCTTTGATCTGAGTATTTGGGGCGGCTGTGGTTAGAGCAGTCGTCCTCCAGTGCAAGAGTTGGAGTTTCAATTCCACCAGCAGTCACATGCTGAAGTGTCCCTGGGCAAGACACTGAACCCCTCATTGCCTGCAGTGTGTGTCCCATTGGTGTATGAATGTGATAAAGCTCTGATCATCAGATCTAGTATAGAGCTGTATGACTGGGTAAATGAGGCACAGATTGTTGTAGAGTGCTTTGATCATCTTGATAAGACAGAAAGGTGCTATGGAAGTACAGTTCATTTACCATTTACTATTCACTATCACTGTGTAGGTTTACTCATGTTTCCCAGGTCTGTGTAAATCTATGTCCATGGAACTTTAACACATCAGTGCCTTTATCAATAGTTTTTTCTTTTTCTTTCTGCGTCCCCAAGTTACTCCAGCCGAAAACGGTGGGTGTGACACCTGACACACCATTTATAAATTTACTTTATTCCTGACAGTACAATAATGGCAGGTCTTTATAATATTTTGTTTTCAGTACAGGTCTAAAAGCATATGTAATGCTATGTTAGCATATGTTAGCTTTGTCCTGCACATCAAGTTTCACATTTGGCATTTGATATCTTTTCTTTTTGTACCAAACATGTACTGAACATTGAGCAAAAACTGAGGCACATACCAAACAAAACATATACAACTTTAGGTTCAGTTAAATTAAATTAAGTTTATTTATATAGCGCCAAATCACAACAGACATTGTCTCAAGGCATTGTACATAAACATTCACATACATACAAAAGCCAATTAGTAAGTTATCTTTCTGAGGAAGGAAGGCATCAGACTCACTGAATCTTCACTTTGTCACAGTCTCCCCTCCTGAGCAAGCACAGAGAGAGTGGAAGAACTCCCTTTAAACAGGAAGAAACCTCCAACGAACCAGACTTGGGATGAGAGGCCATCTGCTTCGACTGGCTGGGCTTGAGTGGACATGAAGGAGAGACAAATGAACACAGAACGGCAGGTCCAGATGTAGGTGCAGGTTTACACCCATTGGAAGAAAGACACAAACACATATCCATCCATCCATCCATCCATCCATCCATCCATCCATCCATCCATC